AGTGCTGTGTGGAAATAATGGTTAAAGTCTCCTAAACTATAATAAGAGACAGTTCCGTTTTCATTAAAATTAGCAGCAAATTGTCACAAATGGTTATGGGAAAAGATAATCAGAAACCTGCCATTTATTATTAGAAAGTGGAAATTCATACTACTGACTTGTGTACAATTAACTAGACACCTCAATGAGCAGTTAGCTGTCCTCACTTAATCTCTGTCAATGCAGAGTAACAGCACCCTTGAAACACAACTCAGTGTACCTAGCTCTAAACTGCCATATGAACTCTTACGAACTCAAAGTTGAATATGCAGGTAAGATGTGCCTACTATGAGGAAACACAAATGCTTTTCAATTCCATCATGTAAATCACAGGTTGATTAAAAATATATTAAAAAGAAACTACTTGCCTTCATCATTAAGCAGTAAAAATTCTCTCTAATCAAAACGTATAATTAATAATCAATCACAAATTTGTTAACAAAGAGTTTATTCTGAATATTTGTATTTTGGAAATAATCATATTGAGAAACTCTTTTGGCATCTATTTCACATGTCCTTGTTATTTCTCAGTTTTTTACTGCTGAAAAAAAATACATTTGCAAGTTTATTTAATGAATAACATACATGTTGTAGAGTGTATAGATATATGTTCTCCTTATATGTGTGCGTACATATATATAGAGAGAGAAAACAAAACTCTCAGCAAAATCTGTAAGAGATTTAAGCAGCACTAATACATTTCTATAAATTCATTAAAACGTAGTTTTAAAATTTCTTCACTATATCTCCTAATTTTCAACTTGTCAGTAAACCAGTTTCTTATGCACCTTGAGGTGGATGCTATGTCAAGCAAATGCTCGTATGACAAAGAAGTTTTCATTTTCTGTTTTGTTCAACAAGTAGCCAGCTAACGTGACCCCACAGTGTCATTTGGCTCTTCCTGTGAGTACATCTTTTGCTTAACGCAACCCACACGAGCCCAAATTTCCGTAGCAAAGCACACATTCAGTGGACCTAATTAAGTGTTACTTCCCTCTTCATCTTTTCATTCTTTTCCTTTGGGAAAATAGATCTTTTCTTTACTTGCTGTTATTTTTTAATAAATCAGAAGTAACACTATCAGAGTTAAATCAGACATGTAAGCATAAAATCCCATTGAGGAAAAAAAGGACATCTTTTCTGTACCCTGTCAGCTGGAAACCAACGTTCTTCTAAATCACAACATTACTGTGTTAGTATGGGATGTATAAGACAGATAAGCAAGTGTTATACAGCAGCCTAAGACACAGAAGTCTTCTAGTAAGTAACATTAATAAGACCCAACGCCATAGGATTTCTTGATTATGACTCAGCACTGAATGGGCCTCAGTGACAACTGCTTTATGTAGTCTTGGAAGCAGCCCATGAGATCCCCACCACACAGGTGGGAGTCTGCACCTCTATCCCCACTACCACATCACTTTTCCCAGCTACCTCCCTTTCTGTGCATAAAGCTTTGGAGACAGAATTGAAATTGATACAACAAACATACAGTACTATACACGAACCCTACAAAATATAATTCAGATACTTGTAGCTTTGCAACACTATCAGGGATTTCTAGATGGCAGATAGCAAAAACGATGTCTGCATATTCATACCAGAAATTTTAAGACTTCCAAGCTATCATAATTTTGGTAATCATTTAACATATCCTTCAAATTCCAAAAGCGCTGACAATAACCTGTGTTCCTGTGGAGTTCCTGTCTCAGTTGTCAGGTTTGCAAATAATGCAACTAAAATAAACCTAGCTGCATGTTCATGATCATTCCCACCTCCTCTCTTCATTTCAGTAATCCTGACTAATCGAGCAGTGCATGTGGACTGCCACTATGCACTGTTTTTTATTAAGTCCTTAAGGGGTTTTGTCATTAATTTCTTGCTAAAGGTCTACTCCAATCTACAAGAATGCAGTAAAGAAAACTAAAAGAGACTAGACTCAACCTCCAAAATTCAGTGCTAGGAGCTACCTTTAACCTTCATAGCAATTTAACCAAATGCATTTGGCACAGGCTAAAATGACTTCATGGTCAGTAACTGCAGCACTGCACACAGACAACCATTTATGAGGCACTGCTCTGGGTGACGTGGCCACATCCTAACTGTGACATTACACTGTATGCCTTTACCAAACTATAAAGAGATGTTCCAAACAGCCGTGGTAAAGATTCATTGTCAAGCACTTAGGAGTTTGGGTTTTGTTGGATGATAAAAGTTTTCAAAAATGGTTTACAATGATTCAGATTTATATTTATGTCAGATTTTGGTCCCTCAGGTTTTTACTGAGCTAGAGCTCATCAGCAAAAGGTCCGACCCAGAGGAATATGATTATAGTTTTAACTGCTTGATCCTTTGGGTGGAGGAGAATGGATTAATCTTTCCAACTTCTTATTTATTAAATACTATATTTAGATATGATGTTTAGCAGTACACTATCACAATATATAACAGAAGAACATGACAGATGAAAAAAACTGGTATGTATTCTGTGTAACATTTTAAACAGACAACTTAATTTTCAGAATTTTCACTAATTATGCAGACCCAGTAGGCAAATCTTAAGTCTGAGTATGCTCTACACAATTGAAAGTTTTGCTAAATCTAATCTCACATACAGAATTGAAATTGGTAGCAAATTGAATGCCTTTAGCAGGAAACAAATCCAGAAAACCCAAGTCTTTGCAATCTACTTCGTATTTGACCTCTTCATGTTTCAGTTTTCAATTACCATGCCAAAGGAGCGAAATTTAAATATCAAATATTTATATTTCTCTTTTGACTTTGCCATTTCATTGAAGATTTTAAAATTAAAGCTACTTCTTGCAAATCAGCCTTATTCTGGCTCCTGATTAGACTACATGGCTGCTGAACTCAAATCACGGGGTACACTGAACCTGACCAATATTATTGATCTAAGACCAGACCCATTTTAGGGGTTTTGTTAATTGTTCCACCGTTTAGTTCTCAGCTGAATACAGGCTGAGCACACCACACAAGGCATTACACACAGCTATCTTCCGATTTTCACAGGCAACTATAATACCAGGGTCATTTCGAGTTTCACGACACCTGTTTCAGTATTTGTAGCTGCCAAGTAATGTATTGGCAGGTGTTTGCTGCACCACCTTCCCGTGTCACTTCAGCATCTGCGTCATTCATACCACCACACAGTGAAGAAATGCCTCTTCAGCTTCTTATTTAATAGATTCTGCACGTGCTGCCCCAAGGTAGATACGTGCACTGCTTACTGCACACAGTGGTGGTAATTACACATACTATTGAGAACTTATCCTACATTTCTGACGGTCAAAAGCATTTGTCCTAGTAAGACAGTTATTTGACAAGGAAACAAAGTGAAACAAGCAATGCAGAATACATACTACATTAAAATTTTGTCTGTATTAATGAAAGTTAACCTCTCTTACAATGAAAAGTTAAAAGAAGTCATCTTGAAACAAGATCATCCATCTCATATAAATTGCCTTGCTTGGAGCAGATACTCCATAGATAAAGACTTTTCATTGTTGCTGGTGGTGGTGTTTGTTGGTGGTTGTTGTTGGTTTTTTTTTGAGAATCTTAGATACATATTAGTTCTAGTTGTCATGCAGACCTGCTCTCTAAGAGGTTACTGTGACCCGTTTGTATTGATCTGCATGCAGATAGCAGTGAACGTTGACATTTTGTGAGTGCTTTTATGTTTTCACAGACAGTATTTTTCATAGAAACCAGAATAAACTTGGTTGGTTAAATTTCCACCTACTTTACCAGTTACAAAAAAGGGATTTAAATCTGCTAGAAGGGCTTCCTTCAGTATGAAAATGATGACCAGGAAGAATAAAGAAATTGCACACTACCAAAGTAGTAAGATATACCTGCAGAAACAACTGTTTTCTAGAGGGCAATATAAAAACAAACCCCTTGTTACAAAATACTTGTTAAAATGGACATAACCTTATTTTCACATCATTACTTTTCTTCACTGGCAGTTTATCTGAAACTGGGTCTCAAGAATTCTACTCTCAGATAAAAAGCATAAAGCTCTACTCTGAGCTGTTCTCAGAATTGTTTATCTACACTCATCAGAGCCCAAACTATATCCATAAGCCATAAGGAGATGGCATACAAAATTATGCCCAATCAGAATCATTTAAAATATGACCTTAATTTAAATCATAATTTACTATGAAACACTGAAATAATAGATTCAGTTGTGTCTCAAGATGACGTATTTAGTGGCAACGGTGGCTTGTCTTTGATAATCTTCCTCCTCCAGCATTAATGAACTCTGTTGTTATAGAAGAAATAGTTTGTGTAGCCACACAGTTCATTGCACTGGAGGCCTGATCTGCCTTGAAACTAAGCCAGAAGAAAACCTGGCAGGTTTTTTTTTTAATTATTATTATTTTTTATTTTTTTATTTTTTATTTATTTAAGTAAATGAGTTTCCAGATTCATTTCTGAGTGCAGCTGCACAAATCGTTGGGCTGGAACTATTGAAGGGGTAGTAAACCACAGAAACCAGCAGCAGGTGGCACAGGAGGTGAGGCTAGGTCACTATTGCTTCCAAACACTTTCCTTTTCTGTATGCAGCCTCGAGTCTAGTCAGAGGTTCATTTATATAATTCACTTATCCTCAGACTGAGTATACTGGCAGGAATTAGCTCAGTACAGACTGCAAGACACCATAACAAACTTAGGTAAATTTGCAACTGGCTTGCTTGCACTGAATGCCATGCTATAGTAATAGTGATACCAGTTACACAAGGGTCTCAACATTAAAATAGCCATCTATCAATAACTCAGGCTTAAGTTAATGTTTCCTTGCATATGTACAAACAGCAGTCACAGCTTTGGATGAACTACAGACATTTCCTTGAATGCTTGCATCTTCTATTTGAGGTGAAAAATATTTATGCTTTTAAAATGAGAGGTCTGCAATAAGGCCAGACTTAAATACTCACTCATTCTGCAGCTCTAAAATACTGAAGTAAAGGTGTCTCCAAACTCAGATTTGCTATCTCTACTGTAAAGAAAAAGAAAGAATTGTTTGAAGAAAGATTGCTGAAAGCTTTATTCTCTTATTAATATCAATATGGCATAAATTATAAAACAGCAAGTAAAAGCCTGGGATAAAATACTCTATAATCAAAAAACATGCCATAGCATTTTTCATTCTAGGAAAGAGCACACTGTACCTGAGTACCACATAACAGCATCAATTGCATTTTTAAACTTATATTTAGAAAGCTAAGCAATGTGGCAAGACTTGAACAGACTTCCTAATACCTAATGCTTCAAAAATAGAGTTAACTCTGCAAGTGCAACTTTATTTCATTAGAATTGGCCATAAAAAGTATTTTCAGTAACTATTTCCCTGTTAGTTACTGCTTGACAGAAAATTCTTACCAGTAGAACATTCTTTCAGAACGCTGATTACCATGAGCACTATGGACTACAGTGCCATCCAGTGGTAAATTGCCCTTTAGAAGCCACCTCTATGTGCTTCTGCCACATGTCAGCCTTAAACACATTCTGAAAAACCATGAAGGCCAAAAAATATCAGAAACAGTAAAAAGAGCGCATGTGCATTTATTCTGCACACTTTCCATATGCATCTTTTGTCACAGCATCACTGACAGCTGAAGCTTCCATGTATAGATGGTCCTTTGTAGATGGTCCTTTCCTTTCTAGACAGAGCTTTGGCAGATCATTTCTTAATGCTAGTGCAGCTAGCTAAACTTACATACTTGAAAAGGTTATACACTGTGAATCAGAATATATTGGGATGAGGATGCAATGTTTCCTAGGGTAGAATGATTTCAGTGAGGGACTGCCTTCCACTCTGACAGTGCAAAAAGGGTTCTGTCCTGAGATCAGATTTTCAGTTACTCAATCCTCCATTATTACAAGGAGGTAATTACACCAGTAATGCTTTTAATCTCCTCCACCTTCTTCCTGCAATGCTGAGCAGATTTTGCAACTTTTAGCATTTTGTAAGGTAGATCTTAGGTTCCATGCAGGCTGTTAGGAAACTCTCTGCATTGGAGAGTGCAATTTGAGGACTAAGTATCTCTTAAGTGCTTGCGTACATTCACAGAGGACAGTCCTCTGATTTAAGTGGCCATTTTGGGCCCATATTCTCTACTGGAATATATTTAAGAGCTTTGACTCTACTGTGATGGGCATCCAAAAGCATAGAGCCTGTGGAATCGAACTCAGCATTAGTTAGCATGTATTTTCCCCACTGACTTCAAATGAAATTATAAATCCATAAATTGGACCTTCTAGTAAAATTTCCAATCAATACCTTCCTATAACCCATTCTATCCCAATCACTACTAGACAGTGGAATGAGATGCACTTTTTTTTTCTTTTCATTTGTACTATTTCATCTTGAGAAGGAGATAGTTTAGAATTCACTGAGAAAACTTACAGAACCAGCCAAACTGATTTCCCATGCAGAAGCACAGAAATATGTTGCCACTGAGAAAAGCATATTCACAATTGAGAATGGAAAGGAATAGTATATAAAGTTAAGTGACTCAATTCTTAATAATTCTCCACTGACAATATGTTTTCAAAAATAGACTAACAGCCTTAAGACCCTATACCAAAGGAAAATAAAACATAACTTTCCTTATTATTTTATTGAGTGCATCAAAGATAGTCCCTTTCATGCAGGGCCAAATTTAGAGACAGCCTACGCACGAGACTACAGCACTGGCACCATGATGACTTTTTCATAAAATGAAAAACCATGGCCACCACTGCCATACACAAGGCAGCAACTGCTCTAGTACTTCTTTCAGAGCAGAAAACTGAGCAGTTAGGACACGTTACAGTCTCCTCTACATCTTGCCCTATCCTTTCCACCTTACCCATCTTCCCTTCCTTCCCACAGTATAGAAGCTACAACTATTCAGATTCTAAATTTCAGCCTTGTCCTAGGAGGGAGGCACTGCCTCTGATTGATGAGTAACACAGGATACTGATACAATTACCATTACTGAAATTATTTCATTTCAAAGAGGAAAAATTTTGTTTCTTCACTACACAACTAGCTCTGCTCCTACTCAGCTGTTTACAGTAATGCCTCCTTAAAGGAGACACTAAGTAAACAACTTACGTATTTCCTTATCTTCATGTAGTATTAACAAAGAAGAGCAACACCAAGTGATTACTCTTAATGATGCATATGTTTCTTATCGCTACATGCGTTTTTATTGCTCAGTCTTCTCTATTAGAAACCATTTTAGGGCCAGGTTAAGTTACTACTTAACGGCTTGAGAACTACTTATGGCTTGAGAACTGGTAAGAACCACAGAATGAGTTGGGTTAATTTTGGAGGCTACAGAGCTCTATGCTGATGTTCTGGCACTCTTAACGTTACCTCTTCGATACTCAAGTTTAGGCTGACCATGGTGACAAGTCTACACAAACACACGGCAGATGAGACACAAACCCACGACCTCCCCAGGTCTGAAGCAAAGGTGTACACTATGGCACACAGTCATAGCAAGCAGATGGTGACATCCAAACTATTAACATGGAAAAGTTGTCACCTGGTGAACTGCATAAGAATAGCCACACATCAGGAAATCCGTGCTGCTAGTAAAATGTTTAGATTTTCAGTTTGCCATCAGAAACATTTTTTCCATTTGCATCTCCTTTTCACTACTACCACTAATGTTCAGTTTCCAGTCTGCAGCTTCTTTTGCCCCTGATCCCCTGCCACCATGTGAAACCACCCACGTTGTGGCCTTGCTCCCTACAGGGCCGCAGCTGCATAGCAAGCCAACGGAAACCAGCCTCTGGTGGCTGCAGCTGCTCTCTAGCTGATTTGGCAACCCCAGCATACAGCAATCCACACCAATTCCATGCCAACTCCTTTCTCTGTCACTCTGCAGATACAGATTCTCCCTGTACAACAGGCTATATCCATAGACTACTGAACCCAAGTGTCTTGCTGTTGCACAGCACTCCTTCCATCAAGGGCTTAGGTTTGCATGGCTCTGCAGCAGATGCATTGTTGCAGCGAAAATGCAGTGATTCTGTAGCATTCAGGGTTTAATGCCATTTCCCACAATCATAGCCCTGAAATACCTTGGAGCAAGGATTATTGGTATTTGTGTTTTGGATCATAGAAACATAGAACGGACTGGGCTGAAAAGGACCATAAAGATCACCGAGTTTCAACCCCCCCGCCACGGGCAGCGTTGCCGGCCACTAGATCAGACTGCCCAGAGCCACATCCAGCCTGCCCGTGAGATGTTCTGTTGTACACTGACAAACTGCAATTTGCTTTCCTGCACCTTTGTACACCTATGGTCCTCTGTTTATTTCCTCTTCAGCACAGCCTCCACGGTATTATCAGTTCTCATGAGGGGACAAGGCCAAGCAGATCACCTAAATTAGAACCCACAGGAGGGCTTGCTCAGCAACGAAATGATGCCATTGCTTTGAACATGTTTTCAAAGTCGTTCTCACCAAAAAGAGGCCACCAGTGCTCTCCAACAGATTCTTCATTAGATTGTAAGGTCTCTCGAGTAACCTGCCTATAACTTTTGAGTATAATATTCTCTATCTCTTAGCATACATAAAATCCCCTAAGTTTTGATAGAAATACACAAATCAGCATTTCATGTTAGTCTAAGTATCTGGATCACAAATAGATTCTTCACATTTGAACTCCTCTACAAATTTGGCCCTAAATGCATACTTGAGCATTGCATGCTCTGAAAATACAAGCACTGGATGGGAATTGCCTTTCAACAAACATCTCAGTGCTTAAATCTATTGCAGTACTGGGATGTGGCAGATCTGCATCCAGCTCTTCCCTTCCGGGGGGAAAAACATCTTTCACATCTCAACAGTGTGTTACTTACAATCTCCACACCAGGCGATAGGACCTCAGCCTTCCTTATCTACATTAAGCTGTTTTACACAGATCAAACATTCACAACCAGCAGGACCAGAATTGGAGTTTCCTTTCTGGTTGCTAACACCTGGACTATAGGAATTTTCTCCTTAACCCATGTTGACTGTAAATTCTCTCTACAAAAAAAAGGGATCTGGTTTGCATACCTCACTCCAGCAGGTACTCAGATCAGTGAATTCAGAGCTATACACTTTCCTGAACCCTTGATTTAGATGCCTAATGCTCCGAGAACAGGAAATAAAATACTAAAGTTTCCTGTTCCCACTGCTCAGATTAACACAGAGACAGAATCTTGATCCTGACCTTGCATACAATTACATACATCAAGAATAATTTAATCACAGCAAAACCGATACCAACATCAGAACAAAATCAGAAGCAAAACAGACTATTCACACCACATGACAATGTCCAGTTGCACTGGATTTTGTTTGTGAACCTACAGGCTCTTCAGTGTAACCCAGGACTAATATTTGAATTGTTAGTCTTGCATGATGCTGTAATATTAGTGAGAAAAATCAAGGCAGAAATGAACTTTCCATATTAACAATCACAAACACTTAACCAAAACCAAACAAAATCAGAACAAGGAATGCCTAAGATGTAACACCAAAAGGACATATTGGAAGATCAGGAGCTCTGTTTAACAAAATGTTATATTTCTGCTAAAAAAGGGGATGTTAACATAGAGTAATGGCACAAACAGATACAGTCAATAACATTAAGTGTGCTGAATGTTACTACCAAGCTTCCCCAACTGTACAGCAGAGATGCCGCCTGCTAGAACTGCTAGAACTGCTCAGTGTGACTACAAAGTTGCATTCGAAGTCAAACAGCAAAGAAACAGCACGTATCATATTTGCAGAGATTTCAATTGAGATTTATGACGTTGGCTGATTTAAACTAGATCATCCCAAAATTCTGAATATTAACAGAAACGTAAATTAAAGACTTGAACAGTATTAATCTAAGTAAGTCATTTTATGGGCTTCAAATGAATCAAAAATAATAAATTAGTTTCATTATTCTGTTAACATTCACCTTTAAACTCAAAGCTAGGTTGCTTCCCATTATTTTGTGGGTAGTTAGAGCCAAGCGTATACCAGGGATCATACAAAAATTACTAAAAAATCCCTACAACTTTTAGAAACAAAAAGGCGGGTGCTTTCCCCTACTCAACAAGAATTCCAGACTCTTCTACATATGGAACGCATTTGATGTTTTCATAAAGTGGCTCTATATACCCATTACATTGCTGTATCTCCAAAAGACACGTGAATATGAAGCACTACAAGATCTGAAGCTTGTTTAACAGAAACTAACATACAATTGTTTACAGTATCCCCCTTTTTTTTTTTTTTCCTCTGGAAGTCACTGCATGTAACAATACACAAAAGAATTCAATGCTATTTGCTCCAATTAGGTGTGCTTTTTGAAATTGGATTTACAATATATATCACTGCTGCAAAATGTTCCTTTTATTTTGTGTTATTCAGTAGCAAAATATCCATTTGCTCAGGTAATGAGCTTTTGTCATTCAAGGCAATTATTTCTGTGACAGTAGTACACATCTAGCAGAATACGTTGCTAATTAATTACTGACCGAAGAACTCGTAGTGATTTTCTTTATTACCATCCATTCAGGTGACACAAGTGTAAAAGTCTGTACTCCATCTTCCTTTGTGAAATATTTATAATTGTAATAATTCAGATGCATGCAGCTATAGCATCACAAGTATTGACCTGCTCCTACCTAGCGCAGGTTTACGCCTGCATGAAAAATGGTCATCCCCAGGAGCAGCTCTCTGGTGACATTATAAAGACTTATCTCTCAATATGGAATCACTGAAATACAGCAAGACTTCCCATACGTGTTTGTAATTCTTAACCCTGAAATCACAGTGAAAAGGGATAACAGGAAAACTGTTGAATTTCTCTTTCTGTCCCCAGGTCCAAGAGGTTAAAGATTGACCACCTGTTCTCCAGATATAGGTACAGCCTCACAGCAGCCAGATTAGAAGAGAAGATACAATCCCTCATTCACTGCTGTTGCTAACAGGGAAACCAATCTTTTTCACTCACTTGACTGTGCCTGACCAGTTTCAAAAATCAGGTAAAGAGAAAGCAGCAGGTAAGGCAAAAAATCGTTTTTGCACCACATAGTAATGCTTCTATGCTACATGCAGCATCTGATTACCTAGGTTAAACCATTTATCCAATTAAGCCACTTTGCACCTTTTCTTTACTGCAGGCACTCCCACTCCAGGCTCCTTAGCTCATATCTCTGGCTGCTCCTCACTTCCCATTTTGTAGCTAATGAGCAAGTCTCAAACAAGGTGGCATTTAGGGGCTGAACACTGAAATGTGGCCTTTTTTGGAGACTCTGGGAGAAAATTAAGAAAAGTGAAGGGAAAGCTTCCTCCAGCAGGAACAGCCAGCCATGCAGGGGCCCCAACCAAGCTTACAGAAGGCTTCGGTCTTGAATGACATTGACATATCTCACCTGCTAACAACTCTGCCATTCTCACACTGCTTCAGATCCATGCAATAGGGTATTTATAATCAAATTCACTCAAAAAAAAAAAAAAAAAAAAAAAAAAAAGGGGTCCCTCTCACAATCTCATTTTGGCTATCTGCAAGTACCAAGAATGCCAAGCCTGCACCAACCCTTAGAAGAAAGACAGTCAAAAACCCAAGTAACAGTAATCTGAGAAACAGAAGTTGGCTGATAAGAGAACTCACTTTGGAAACTGTGCTGGAGCATTGTGCACGGGATAACCGCGTTCTTATGTATGGAACTTCATCCTGAGGCTGAGGAAGAAGCACGCTGACTCTTCAATACAAGATGTGAAGGCTGAAACTTCTCTTGGTGTCACATTTTTAAGAGGGTGCAACAGAACAGCACTTGGGATAGGACAGATAGCAATGGCTAAGGTAAGCAGGAATCCAAGAATGGAGGGCAGGTGAACAGACTCCATCCTGAGCTTCTCATGCCACACACTGCCTTAAATGAAGGGATGTGGAACAACTGACAAAAAAAAAAAAAGTTTTTCCTCTACTTTGTCCGATTTAAGGGAAAAAAAAAACAACAAAAAAACACCAAACTCCTTTATCTCCTGAGTACAGGGCGATACGAGCAGAGCCTGCACACAGTCAAAGCAAGCAGAGCTGCGCTCTCCCACCTGTGAGGGCGGCATGGCTCCGCGCGCTCAGCAAAAGCCCTGCTCGGCCCGGAGCTCTGCTCACGGCCCCGTGTGCCGCCCTCCTTCCAGCGTTCCCTCGGGGCTCAGAAAGGAGAAGACGAACCCAAAGCCCCTACTGCTCCCCAGCGCTGTGGGGACCGCCCTACTTGGCTCCCGGCCCCAGATCGCCCCTCCGGCGGACGCGCTGTCCCTCAGGGGCGGAGGGCGCTGCCCAGCCGGGCGGGAACGCCGCCTCCGCCCCCCACCGCCTCCCGCTGGCACAGACCGCGCGCCCCTCAAACCCCGCTGCTGCGGCCGCCCCGGACGTCGCGTAGCCGGGGCGGGCTGCGCAGTTCCGGCGGAGAGAAGGGAGGGGTGATATGCAGAGCGGGCAGCCGGGGCCGCGGCGGCTGCAGCCGGAGCCGCCGGAGCAGCGGGTGCTGGGAGTCCGGGCCGGGCGCGGCGTTCCCGCCATGGAGATGGAGAAGGAGTTCCACCGGCTCGACCAGGCCGCCAGCTGGGCCGCCATCTACCAGGTGAGGGGCGGTCGCCCGGCCCCGCTCTGCCCCCGGCGCCGAGGAGGAGCGCTTTGCTTTCGGCCGCTCTCTGCCGCCGTCCGGCTCCGCTTCCCTGCGCCGGCCCGGAGCCCCGCGCGGATGGCGCCGCCTCCCGCTCCCCTCGCGGCTTTCCCTTCCTCCTTTCCCTCCCCGCCGCTGCCGTGCTCTCCTTCCCCTTTCTCCCGGCGTTCAGGGGGCCCCGCTCCGCTCCCCTCTCTTCGTGGCCTCGTCCCTCGGCGCGGCCGCCCTTCGCGGCCTTGTGAAGCTGCCCGTCCTCGCCGTGCGGAGCGAGGCTCGGGGCCGCGGCCGTCATCATGCCGTCGCGGTGCGCGCAGATAACCGGTCGGTCTCCGTAGTGATAGAACAGATCCGAAGAGCGGCTCGTTGGAAGCACTTGCGCGGTGATCTGGTGTTATTTTTTATTATTTTGCATTTAGCACATTTCTGATGTTTTTAAGCTGTCTGGCAAACACGGATGATTCTAAGGATGCCGGCAAGGTGAATACAGATTAACAGATACAGCTGTAAAGAGGTCTTCTGCCTTGAAAGAGTTCTTTGTGCGCTTATTCAGAAGAAGGTGTGAGAGGTGGGTGTGCGCAGTCACGTCAGGCAGCGCAGCCGTGAGAGCCGTCGGAATGCTTAAGCTGCAGCACTGCATATTCTGATAAATTCTGATTCCACGTTTGTTATGTAGAGGTGAGGCTTTGTATCCCTGTGCTGCGCGTTTCTCTGGCAACAGGCTTTAGAAAAAGGAAATAAAAAATGGAATTTTATGACAGTGAAATAAATGAGCTTCAACTTCACAACAACCGTATGTGAGTTGTGAAAGTAGTAGCTTGCAGGATGGGCATCTCCAGTTGTTTGGCAACGGGAAAATAAGCATTTTTTTCATGAAATTTTGAATATTCTTTTCAGAAAAGTCAATTTTTTTGGTAGAGGATTTCATTTCCTGCAGAGCCTCAGTGCTTGCTAACTCTGTATTGGTTGAAAGTCATGTGCATATATGATGTTGTGTTTTTGCTAAACTGTTTTTGATAGTTTGGTCTGTTGCAGGCTTAGCGCTCAGGAAATGATTTTGAGTAGCAGCATTGTAATGGAGGTGGTACACTCCTATGGGTACGATTTAATTACTGAAGTGATATCTGTAAGGAGCCATAAGGTTAATAACGAATGAGGAACTGTGGCGTGTTTTCAGTGTAGCATTCAGTGATATTTTTTTCCTGCTTTCTTTGAATGATGTAACGCAGTAACCTGCTCAGACTGTGTCACAGAGTGAGGTTTGATTGAGGTTTGATATTCAGTTAAAAAAGAAACAAGCTGAAGTGATTTGCTTCCAAATGTTGGCAGGCATGAGAGCTGGGTTTTTTGTTTTCTTGCTTGTTTTTTAAGGTTAGTAAGTATGTGCTTCTGCATCGCGTAACTCAGTTTCTAACTGCATCCTGCTTTTAAATATCAGCTGCTTTAAATGATGTTGTGGCAGACTGTGTACATCTAGAACAGTGTATTTCGCTGTAATCTGTGCTTTTGATGTCTTGGCAGTGATACGAGCAGTGCAGTTTTCCAACAAATACCAATCTTTGCTTGAAGAATGGAGTTAAGTGGAATAATGTTTGTTACTGATGCAGTCGTTTCTTTCTGAAGAGTCTTTCTACGGGTTAATCATAGCATGTGCTTGTAGTATCTAGGTGTTAGGATCATGATTGCTAAAATCTAGAGGTGTTCACCAATATTCTGAATGAAACATAATGCAGTTTACTAGCAGAATCACTTCCTCTTGTTTCTTGGCTATATCGTTGATCTAGAGATACGGGTGACATTTAGAAGAGGCATTAGGAGCACAACAGAGTGGTGAAGCTAACTGGAAGGATGGCTACAAGGAGGCGTGTGTGGGTGCCACATGACTTTGAAGGTGTAAAATTTTCCAAGCTTCTTTTTTTGGACAAGGGAAAGCTATGTTCAGCTGCAATAATCACACAGTTCTGAAAGAATGTAAGATTTTTTTAAGTGTAAATAATGATAAGATAAAGACAAAAAGAGTTCAAAATGAATTTCTGAAGGTATTTGTGACAATTCTGTCTCAGGCACCGTATGGTTGGTGGCACTGTGGTAGCTAGTTGAAACGGTAAATACTTACGATGTTGTCAGTGTTGTTGGTTTTTTTAAACATCCAGTGCCATCTCTTTTATTAGATTTACTGGCTACCAGAACTAGCAGACATGAGACTTTGGAAAGGTTGTTCAGAGATCTGGTACTTCACAAGAGTTGGTCTGGTACTAATCTGTGTTTCTATTATGGAGAAATATACTTGGGTCTCATTTGATTGGTTGCCTTCTAACCTAAGCATAAGAAATAATTTGAATAGTTAGCATTCTCACTCAAGTCCTCTTCCATAAAACAGCAATTTATAGGAAAATGGTCAGCAGCTTAATACAAACTTTTAAATGTGATATTGTGGTTCAAGCGTGCAGTCTAGAAAACAAATACCTGAAGGTGGGTTGAAGGATGTACATACTGCATAAATACCTTTAGGAGTACCAGTAGGATTGAAAAGCATTCACTCTGGAGATGTCACAACAAAAAGCAGTAGCCCAAAGCTAAGAAAAGAAGTTCTGGGAAAGCATTATTGCAGCCTTCCAATACTTGACGGAAGCTTAGAAACAGGAGGGAGAACGACTTTTTACCAGGGCAGATAGTGATAGGCTGAGGGGGAATGGTTTTAAGCGAAAAGAGGGGAGATAGAGGTTAGATGTTAGAAATAAATTCTTTACTCAGAAGGTGGTGAGAGGCATTGAATCTTCACTTGATCATAGTGAATTTGGTATCGGATTTTAATGGTAATTCTACACGTTGAAGTCTTTAATAATTTTGATTTCTAACTCCTTACCCACGTTAGTAGAATGAGATACTATCTTAAAAACGCAAACCTCAAATACAGGTTAAATTGCTTCTTGTGTTTATATAAGCCAGGTAGGTTGACGTTAGTATGTTGGCTAATGATATTAAGTCTGATGTGTTAATAACATTACGGAGATCTGTGAATTATTTAGTATTCAGCTATGAATCCCACACAAAGCAGACAGTGCAACCCATGCAGACTTGATACTGCTGGTTTTCACTGAACTGTATGTATGGCAACTGCTCAAAATTAGTTTTCCATGTGAAGGATGCAGAATTCGTGCACTTTTTTTTCTTTTTACAGACAGTACATTGTAAAATAAGAAAGAAGCGATCATCTGGATTTTCAGATATGTTCAGAATTGAAAGAACTGAGAATATTGGGCACTGTGCTAGATCTGCTGCTGTGCATACCCTGGAAAACTGATGTATGGTTACAGTTAAGTACGGTTCGGTTTGATACCTGTAAGAGGAATATTATAGCTGTTCTCAGTTCTTCAAAAAAGGAAGTTTGGTGCTTTTTTGTTTGTTTGTTTGTTTTCAACTATTATTAATATGACTGTTACTTTTTTCCCAAATCTCCTAAGCTAAACTAAAATACTGCAAAATATACAAGTTAATAAACTTCACACAGGCTATGGGAGAGATATAGGAAGCAACCAAGGATGTTCTGAATATTTCTCTCTCAAAAGAGCAAAGACATGGAAAACTTTTTTATTGTCTCTGTGTTTGAGGTAGATTTCAATGTTGAAAGTAACAAGCTGTAAAATGGTTCACTCTGTAAACTGTATACTGTGGTTGTGTTATATTTTTAAAGTAAATGAACAGGAAGTTCTACCAGTGTTTTCAGTTTATAAGCTGCTGTGAGAGTTCAGACTATCCTGCTGCAGTGTATAAGTATTTGTGTTTCTCTTTTGCTCTGGTGCTATCAAACTTTAAACTTCTTTGGAGTACATAAACTTTAGTATGAGTACAGCTTATTCCAAATGCATCTTTGTGCCTGATTCTGCCAGTTCTTGTTCCTTGAAAATACAGGTCTCTGCATGCATGCCTTGCCACTTCTTAACTTGTGCTATTCAAGTTGATTCATTCAAGGTGTAGTTTAATTGGCTCTCATTATGGAGAGCTAACTTAGAATTGCTAGTTGCAGGGATTCTCTCTTTGCCTGCAATACAGCTAAGGATATATGCCATGTTTTCCAGTGCCGTATGGCCGCTGAATTTTGATAGAACTGTAGGAGAGACAGAGCAGGTAACTGAGCCCCTGTGGCTTGTGAAGTCATTATCTTCTCTGCGAAAAAGCAAAGTTCACTTTCATTTACAAGTGCTAGTATGCTTTGTGCTATTGAGAGTGTTCCAGGGCATTCAGCTGCGTTGGCTAGTTGTGGTAGTCACCTTTCCAGGTAAGACTGATCATATCTGCTGATGGCAAACAGGAGATGGTGGAAGTCCTCTTCACCTGAGCTACTGAGCAGCTTAATATTGCTTGTTTTTCAGAAGCTAGAGTCTAAAATATAAGTATTTGAAGTGTCCTTTCTTATAGCATTGCTCTAAGTAGAATAAAAATGGAGCCCATATTTCTCTATTGTAGCTTACTGCTAAAGGGTACAATTTGCCAAAAATCTGAAAATGATACCTGTGGGCAGTAAGTGCTATGCCTGCTACTGAGTGCCTTCAGAAGGATTTCAGGGTTTCAGAGGGTTCTTCCACATTATTTGTTCCTCTTCCTTTCTGC